GGATCTGTGAACTTCAGAGCTGTTAAGAAAACATCGAAAGGTTCATGAATTATTTTTTTTTTTCAGAGTGATATACTTCCCATAATACAAATATGTTCTGGAAACTACAGAAAAATTTAAAAGCCAATAATTGACGTGTAGATCATAAAACCACTGACTGCAGACCTGCATAAAAGCACAAATGAGAAAATTTCTCTTATATGGTGATAATAAATTGCGTGGCACAGTGGGACCACTCTGAAAAAGACGGTTAAAACCCTTTTCCATTTGGTTCTTTTATTTGGATATTTTTGCATTTTGGTGTCTTAGAAAAAGTAGCTTACACGTAGAAATACGGATTTTTTGTAAAATTGGTGACATTGTGCTTTAAAATCACTTTACAAGGGAAATGAAACAATTTTAAATATTGCTGTATTATTTTGATGATATAGAAAATTTTGTAGAACATGTCGAATTGATTATTTGAGATTTATTATGCAAGAAAGTAATAAAACTTATTTTAGGGTAGTCTTTATCATAATCGAATTAAATTTTGCTAGACTTATTATGTAGAAACTTAGTGTAAAATGAAAAGGCCTACAATTTTTCCGAAGAAATCTTGCATTTTGTGACATTCAATTTATCGTAACAATTCTAAATTTTGGCAAATATTTTCTGTACAGTAATCATTCGCTGATTGGAACGCAATCTTACACTATCTACCGAATGCTGGATAGGCGAGGAGCGGACTCAAAACAAACTGCCATAGCAACCTATGCCTAGGTAGTTTCTAGCAACACTGCTAATGCAATCAAGATAGGCGATGCTCGATTGGCTCCAGTTTTGACAGTTCGTTTGGCTCGAAACCAGAAAGTCCGCTTTTCTCTTATACTAGATCCTCTTTATTTGGAACGGCTCTGAGGCTGACAAACTGAAGTTTTTCACGCAAAACAGCTTACTAGATCATTCCAACCAGGGAAGGAACACTGTTTTGAGATTTGTTTTTACATTTTTTAAATTTATAATGTTTTCGTTAAATTCAATTGAACTATCAGTTAACTCATCTTGAAATAGATAGTTTAGTGCTATTAATCTCTCAGCTATGCTCAGAGAATGGCTCTACGGTGCTGAAATTTTGCATTTTGATAGGTAGATTAATAGCAACCATCTATTTTACGATGCGTTAACTGAACAAAAGCTCAAAAAGAGCGATCAAGTACTGCCAACTATCAACGATGAATTTTCATAGTATGACTAGTGAACTCCCAAATAAAAATAAACACCCGTCGAGAAAGCCCCTATCGAGCGAATGTTTTATTCAAGTCAATTTTGAACTATTTTTGGATTTTGATGGCTATCAATGTTTGTATACATTTGTAACTTCTGTAAAATGCCCGTATAATGCCTGTAATATGTATGACGTATGTATTTCCTAAAGGCCAAATCAGTGATCGAAATGGTTTTACTCATGAAAATGAGATTGCTCAACACACTCTAGCTCTATTTTTTTTTTTTTCTTTATTATAGAGATTTTTAGCCTGAGGCTAGTTCATCTCTTAACTCTAGCTCTAACTTTTCTCATATATGAGATGTAGGATGTTTGAACGACCCCCGTAAATCAGTATTTATAATATAACAGACGATAACATTGTCTGGTTCTTCTTTTTTGGCTTTTTTATTCCGTCTATACACTGAAACTTTTTCGTTAGATTTAAACTTCTACAACGCCGACTCATCCACAGCTGTTAGTTGAGAGTTTTTTTTTAAGTCTGTTAGATTTTTTCATTAGTATTATTTACCTGTCTGTTTATTTTTTGCAATTTTTTTCATATCCTACAAAGTTGTTTACTTTGAAAAAATATACAATTCTTCTGAAGGCAACAACATTATATCTAATTTCTGTTTTCGAAGTTATTTGAGATGTTGTACTGAAAAATGCAGGCCAGTGACAAGGCCTATACCAACAGCAGCGTTTGACAGTAGGCAGCATGTTCCGGGCTCAAAACGTTCATTTTGCTGTGCTGGACCCGCTGTCATGGTATAACATATTACTTACGCGCCTGCCGCTGGGCTGGAAAAATGCAGAATTTCATATACGAATAACTATTACAAGGGCAAAAGCTAGGAAATTCAACCAGTCTTATAATTCAAGATGGTATCCAACATTATCCCAGATAAGAAAACAAATCTTTGTTTTGAATATAGGAACACACTTTTACGGAGGCTGCATATATACGTTTACATTTAAATAAAAATCTTTGAAAATAATTAATTTGTTCACACTCAGTTTTAAAGGGTTTTGCATCTTACAATAAATTTGATTGCATAAGGACTAAAATATGGTCCAGACGAAATTCAACAATCTTGATTTGCTAACAGCTATCTCAACTAATCTAATGTCAAATGCTTTATTAGAAGATGATTTTCCAGGTGAATATTTCAAATCCTTGACATTTTCAAGGTCATTCTAGGTTAAAATTTAATCCAGAATATAACTTAGTTTTCCTGACACCGTTGCCTCTCTGATTAATGCTCTATCAACACACTGTAACGAACAAGCAACTTTTTCATGCACACACATTTTAATGTTAAACTTTCTCAAGAAGATACAGGATACATTGCGAAATGTGTATAAGCGGTGATTCGAGTGTACGCTCAGTCTTCGAGGCAACAGAAGTTGTTCCTCATGGTGTTGCTATTGACAGTTTGTTTAAAAGATATATGTTATTATTTCGATGCGCATTTCCGGTTTTGTAACAGCACTGAATGCAAATCCCGTTGATATGGATGCAACTTACCGGATTGCGAAAGTTACATCACTTTTAGGAAAATTCATCTCAGAAGAATAGGAAGATATAATTTTCCATCATTTGAGTGGAAAGGCGGCGGTCAAAATCTAAAAATATGATTTTTAGTAATTTTTTAAACTTTTTTCCTCGCTATATTTATATGATTGTGCATCGGAAAGGATATCTAGACAGTAAAATATGTTTTCTGAATAAAAATAAATAAATTAGGTATTTGTAGAAAAAATAAAATTCAAAATTCGTATTAATTTGTAATACAATTTTGGTTAATTTTGAATTATCCATGGTGTCTATTTATAAATTAAGCATTTTTGATATATGAATGCTTATAAACATAAGATTAAAAACCTTCAAAATGTGTTTTTGATGTTATTGAAGTTTTTAACAGTTTTGTTTTTGTAATTATTGTCGAAAATTTGTGATCTTCTATAATTTTTTTTCCTGAAAAGGTAATCATGTTTTCTAAAATTTTTTCTCAGAAGTAATTTCTTTATTGAAAAACATCGAATACGCCATTTTGGAAAATTAAGCGTGAGTCAAAATGGCTGAATTCTGGCACAAATTTGGTTCATTGGTTCATTGGTTCATTTGGTAGTTTCATGGAATTCAGAGAGGAAAAAATAAAATCAATTCGTCAGTTGGCGTGGAAATGCTCTTCTGTTCATGATGTCCATGATGCAGCATTCAACTTTCGTCAGCATGTTGAGGTTCAACTTCCTGGCACGGGTTTTGGTGGACTTGTTCTGCTTCTCGTCGCGATTAGGGGCCTTTTGTACCTTGAACGTTCGAAGCCCAACCTTAGTTTTGGCCTTCTGGACAAAACTTCGGCTTAGGTGCAGCTTCTTAGCCACATCCCTAACGGAGGCGTTCGGATTTCGGTTGAAGGCCCCAACTACGCGGTTGTGATTTTTGGTGTTGTACGGAATACTTTTTCCTTCATTTCTGGGCTTCCGATCGGTGGTCAACCGTTCCTCGAACCGCTTAATCACTCGCGACACCGTGGAATTCGCGATTCCCAACGTTTTAGCGATGGAACGATGCGAGAGATCCTTGTTCTCGTGATGAATGCGCAAGATTTTATCACGCACGAGCTGTTCTTTCGACTCCATTTCCGCGAGTTTTGATCACAGGACATTAAAACTTGCAGGATGTAAATAATGCACTATGAACTAAATCCACCCAAATTTTCATTAAATTCTACCCAACGGTTAAAAAGTTAGAGCAATTTCATAGTGTGGCAATTTCATCGTGGACACCCTTTACAATAAAAATATGATATGATTAATAGTGTTGTACAGTTTTGTATCACATTACTATTTATTTGATAGCTTTTTTCCATTGTTTCAACCGATCCAGATCAAAATAGCTTCTGAAGTTCACTTTATTTTTACAACATGATTATCGATCGATTTCGATCTGACACTACCACCACGTTTCGCCACTTAATCACACCATTTTTAAATTTCCTATGTACTAGTTTTCATCGTTCCCATTTTTCATCTCGTTCCAGATATTCCACGAAATCATCGTCATCTCTGATCTCAGCAGCAGCATCATCTTCATCGGAAACAACGACGACAGTGGCAACGGCAGCAATTCGTTTCAATTCACTTAAGGCCAACGAACTGTCTTCCACCCAGCTCGCAATCCCCCCCACCCCTTTTTTCCCTAACGAGCATGCAAGTAATGTAAACGATCACAAGCTCGTTTACCGCGAATGTAAACAAAAGCAGTGCGTATTTTGTGCGACACGCATCGGCTGAAAGAAAAACTGCTTCGTACCGGTTCTCGGTGAAGTCGCTTGGATTCCGATCCGATGAGGATACACAAACAATCATCCTCCCCCTCCCGGCCAGGAATCCTAACCTACGCAACATAGGCCAGAATCGGAACTGGAAAATCTCAACGGCTTCTTCGTCGTCGGTGCAGAAGGCCTACGAAAATAGAAGAATGATTTCGAGTGCGTGATATGAATGATGGTTAAGACGACGACAAGGACGACGGTGCTGCCGAGGACGGCTCAATGAAACACAGCTTTGCTCAAGGACTTAAAAATAACTCTCGTGGTTAGATGGAAGCCGAGGCAGTATTTATTTTTCCGGTCGGGTTGTTGTTGAAGAGAAATTTTGTGAATCAGTCGTGAAGATTTTCGCTTTGTGTCTGGAAGAAGATCAAACGGTCGGTTGGTCGGTCGCACGCGCATCTCAGATTTGAATGTGCAGAGCCGGTGCCGAATTCCAAAAACTGGAGCACAGCGGGGGAAGAAGATGTTGCCACCGATTTGCCAAGTTGCGACCTGTGAAAATGCGCGTTCCATCGTCAGTCGCGGCTGGGCTAAAATTAGACAACGGCATAAATTATGTAAAGTGTGCTGCTGCCCGAAATAACGCGTCGATCGCGCCAATTTATCGCTTGAACAGCAATTCCAACAGCCGAGCGCCAGTCTTGCTGGAGAGTATCCCCAGAAGCGGTAGTAGCATTAGCATAAGTGGCCCCAGTGGCGGTGACGACCTAGCACAACAGCAACGAGAAGACAACAGTAACAGATACAGCAGTCTCCAAAGTAGACCTCGGGGTCGTCGTCGCGGACGTCGACGGCCAAAGTGTGTCTGGATGTGGCGGCGCTGGTTCAACTCTCTCCCATCCTTGGTTTCCTCCCTTCTAGTTTCCATTCCCGCCAATCTACCATCCCCTTCGTCGCCGACGACAGTACCTGTCCACCTGTCACAGCTGCGACCATTGCAGCAGAAGAAATATAAATCCCAGAAATCCCTCTGTCAAGCCGACAGTGTTGCCAGCTATGCACGTAAAGAAGCAGAAGAAGAAAAAGAAGAAAACGATAATCTTAGTGCGGTGGCGGTGAATGGCAGTGGTAGTGAATGTGAAAACAGTGATTACAGTCAACCACGAGTGACAACGGGAAGTGGCAGTAGCAGTAGGGGGCGGTGGCATCGTCCCGCAAGGAGTTGTCACCGATCGTCGTCGTCGTCGGTGCTCGGTGGTATCTTCGGTGGCATCGATGTTAAGTTGGTGCTGGTGATTATGGTGCTAATTGGCGTTATTGATTACTCGGAAGGTAATTTTCTTTACACGCACGCAGTGTATCTCATTTCTTGTAGGTTTATTATGCACATGTTATGTTTGCATTTGCAGTAGATAATTACAGGATAGCCACTAATGAGATGGCTAAATAAGTTATTGAGTACAAGATGATAGTGTTTGAATTATGACACCAGTATGTGGCGGGGCAGAAGCGAAATGCTTTCCGACAAAACCGACATTGGCGCAGTGGTTGATTTTTTTAAAAATGGTCAACTTATGACCATTTTATGAAAGAATTATCTTTGAATAAAATGGTTTTAGGGTAAATGACGGTTTCAGTCTAGGTTTCAGTAATATATTTACCTATTATCATCAGGGGATCATCAATTGTGGAAATACGACGATCTGTCACCTTACAATTCTACTCAGATTCTTCTTGATTTATTTATTAATTCTTCTCGTCATTCTCTAATACACTTCCTAAACTTAACTATTATCCACTTCATATTCTCTATGAAATTTTCTTCATGAACTCAACTTTCTATCCTCAGAGAACGTTATATAAATATTCACTATATTTGACAAATCTCAGGTAAATATGACACAGAAGGATTCTATTTTCATTAACATAGGTTTCAAAGATCTGATGTCATGATTATCTGAGATTTGTTAAATGATGTAAATATTTACACCGCTTCAATCTGAGAATTCCCATGATATTCGAATCCCTTGCAAATTCAGTAGTTCTCAGAATACCGTTGAGATAACTGGTAGAATGCCTATAATCGCATATAAGTCCTCTATGGATTTTCGTTAATTTTAAGATAATAACGCTATCCACTATCAATTGGCATCTACTTTCATATTACGTGATAAAACTACGGAATTTAATCATGAAAAATGTGAAAACAACATTATATCAGTTTTTCCCATCAAGCAAAGCAATCGCATATCAGGGGGAGAGGTAGCTCATCGATTCTTCCGGTTCACCTCCTAGCATCGTGCTATAAGGTACCAGGCGATAACCAGTGTAGTTGATCGATAGCTCGTTGACGTCATTTCGTTGACGTCTGCAATGGGAAATTCTCATAGCAGGCGTTGACGATGGGACGTTGTCGAGTTGTTGAATAGCAACTATTGTGGTAACTCACCGATTACCTGTCGATCTACCAAATTTGGAAAGACGTCTGCATTGAATTGTCTCATATAATAATATTCCGCCCACTATATCACAAGAAATTGCGAGTAGCTGAGTGGAATGGAGATAAGTTAAGCATTGGGTACAGGACCAAGTCTCCCCTGGGTGGTGCCAAAAGATGAGCGCAATAGAATTATCAAGTTGCCATAAGGCACGGAATGAGACTATTGCATGACTGGGTAGTCAAAGTCTTCCATTCGTTAGTCATTTCAGGTGGATTAGAACAGGTTTAGGTTGGCGTTGGCCAGATTTGGATTTTTCAGATGTAATCCTGGATAGGACCCTGTCATTGAACGTCGCGTGAAAGTGGAACTTAATGAAGGCCTAAGTACTTTTTCGTAGTTTTTAGTTTTCGGATTTGAAAGATCGTCGGTTACAGTGGCCTGCTTACTGAGCAGAAAAACGCGGTCCCAGGTCCTTACATATCAAATAGATTTATGGTAAAATCGAACGGCGCCAGTGGTGTAGTGGTAAGCGTGATTACCTCTCACCTCAGCAGGCCTGGGTTCAATACCAGTCGGCGCCGCCGGGATGTTCTGAGGCATAACATCTCTGATCACGCCTTCCTTCGGATGGGAAGTAAAGCCGTTGGTCCCCGGTTCATGAGTTGATGGATCGATAGGTAGGATCCAGGTGTGGGAGCTGCCTTCCTGGCACGTCGGTAGCATTGGTGCTCAGCACGGAAAACAAGATCGACGGAAAAAACAAACCAAAGGAAAAAAAATATATGGTAAAAATCGCTTGTGTATCGTGTATTTTGCGAAACTCGTTGTTGTCGTTGGTTCCGGGTTTGAATGGATACACAAATTTGAGCAACGGTATTATGTGATATGAGGGGCTCGGTGGCCTTAGAGCAACCGTTTTTGCTTACTGAGTAGAACATCATGAGTCTAATCTCAGGCCCATCCACATTCAAGATTCGTCGATCGTTTTATTTGTTAATATGACTACATGGTAATAACAGCAACTCGGTGATTAAAAAGGTGCTCGTCTGCCTAGTGACAAACGTTTTTGCTTACTGAGCAGAAGACCGTGGGTTTAGTCCCAAGCTCCTTCGCGTTATATGATCGTTAGGACATCAATTCAGCTTATCGTTTACCAAAACGAACCCTGCTGCAAACCCAACCCTCTTATCCAACATCCCAGTGATTCCTCGTGGAAGTGCAGAGGTGTTCTCGGCTTCCATCAAAGCAAGTGTCATGTCAACACAATCCTTCCCATTCCTTTCTTGACCTGTGTTCGGGCGCGGCCAGCGTTGGTATTGCCTAATTTAAGATCACCAGTTTTTACACATTGAGGATGATTGCAAGTCCCAAGCATCGTCTATTGGTTCTCTGTGTAATTACAGCTGATCTGGCAGTAACAGAGTAGCAACCGTGGGCGGTCAATCAAGCTCAAGCTCAAGCTCAAGCAAAGCAATCGCATATCAGTCCCACACTGATTTTTTTTATTAAAGAGACTTTCAACCTTGGGCTGCTTTGTCCCCACCCTGAAATTATATCGTCCATAAGTTAAGTTATAGTTATGTTTTTTTTTTTTTTGAATCGCCATAGTTTCACTGTGAGTGTTCACTCGGCTGTCGACAAAAGCAGACCACTCTCGATGTGTGCTACGCGATCGTCTGTTTTTTCGGCAGCAACCATTGTGTGGTCCTCCTCATTGTTCTTCATCAGCAGTTCTTTCGGTCGATGCGTCGTCGACTTTGGAAAGCAACCGTTTCGTGATGAGTGTGTGAGTGCAGACCACTTTTTGCGTCCATTGCTGCAATGGACGCGCTCTGACCCTCGTTGGCGTACAACAATTTGCCATACAATGAAACTACTGGAAACGGCTCCAGTTCAGATGGAGGAGGCTTTTTGGATAGCGGAAGATAAAGTGTTTATTGTGTTGTACCTTTTGACTATAGCTTTAAGATGTATTGTATAGTGACCATGAATCCTCGGCTCTGTAAAGTTAATTCGGTTGAGCCTTACCAAATAAATTAATGAACAACAAAAAAAAAATAGTTTCACTGATATAACAAACCATGTAAGCTGCATTGCTACTAATTTTAACTTGTGAAAATTATCGATTAATTTACTTTGATTTTTTTTAAATGTTTACATGGAAATTGCACTTCTTAACTTCAACCGCCATTTTCTCTATGCTTACTTTTTCCATATGAACCTGATATGAGATTATAGGCAGTAGAGTTCCTTTGAAACTATTTTCTAAATTATCATGAAATCCATAAGTTTTAATTGAATTCTTCTATAAGCCTTAGGAATCACCATTGTATTCATATGTAGATTTATTTCTAATGCATTTTAATACTCTTTAATATAACCTTTGAATACTAATCAAATTTTTCATGAGATTCTCCTCAAAATTTCCCTGAAATTCACACAATCTGCTCAGAATGCTTCTTAGCATTTCCCCCAAAATTTCCATCGAATTATGTTTTGAATGCACATCAACAAGGTTACTTCAATTAATTTCGAATAAATTAAAGTTTTATGCTATTATGGAATCATAAGGTATTTTGTATTTGAAAGTTACAATAAAAGATTACATGGAATGTGTCTGCACATAAAACTTGCCAAAAGAATGACAGGTGAAGAATATGTGAGAGAAAATTATTAAATTGATTATTGCGACTCTCATAAACAATCATCGGCATGTTTTATTTGTTATACTTATTGTTCATTAAAAACACAAAATACATTTATAATGTCTTATGAATCCATAATCCCGTAAAACATTTTTTATGCAAAATGAATGGAAGTAGCCCTGCTCTCCACATTTTCCTTAAAATCACTACTTTGGTATTCTCGTTATATATCGCATAACGTTCTCCTTACATTTTTTTTATAGAATTCACCTCAGTATTACCCTGGAGTTCTATTCATACTTGCCTATGAATTCTCCTGAGTATCTTGTATCTGAAATCAGGAGGCCCTCAGAATTACATTGGAATTATATTTAGACCTACCTTGCATACAGTTATTACACTTCACGTTAAGTTCTCCTCACAATTCCCTTTGAATTCTCCTCACCTATCTTGAAATTCATAACAGAATTAATTTGACATTGTACCATGCATACCCAAGGATTTTGTTTTTCATAATGACATTGGAACTATTAGTTTTGTGTTCTCCTCAAAGTTCCTAAGGAGTTCTCATCAAAGACTCTTTCAGTAATACTACGAAGTGCCGTGATCGTAAAAAACCAGCATTTAAAATTTTAGATTACTGTTTTAAAATCTGGAATTTCCCTGCGCTTTGGTCAGAGAGCGTATAGGGCGTCGTTGTACCAATTTGGTCGTGACACATTTCGAGTATGAAAGAGTAATTGCAGTTAGATCAAAATTACCTGAGAAAAATGCAAGTACTTTCGCAGATTATCCGAAGTTGCGATAGTTAAGGTATAGTCACAGACAAGCAGACATAACACTCTTAAAACGTTCATCGAAATGTTCTTAACGGTCAATTTTAAATGTTCCTTAGTTGGTAGTACCACCACTTGTGGTGCACATAATCAATTCCCTATTGTTTGACGTTTACACACTACAACCATCTGTTGAGTGTATTGCCCATTAAAAGATATACGACAGATGGCGGTAGGGTTTACAATGATAATTGTTCAATGTGTTGTGTCTGCTTGTCTGTGATATAACATTGAGGTAACGTTAGGATAAAATCTAAACATTGAGAAATATAACGCATCACTTTCAGAAATACTTCACTTCGCAACCGATGAACCATTCTGACGGCCATATGAGTACCCAAGTAACCATATAGTCGCAATATAGCTTGTATATTTTTACTTTGCTTGAGTATGGTTAGTTGGGGAATCTG